ACAAATATCTGCGTGAGTCACTATTTTCATTTCTGTGGGCATATACCAGAAGTAGATCGTATGATAATCCTGTGGTTAATTTTTGGGGGGATTGCCATATGTTTTCCACAGCAGCTAAACAATTTTATATTCCCAACAGCAACACACAAGGGTTCCAAATGTCCTCATAACCTCAAAATTTGTTATTTTCTGCTTTTGTTGTTGTTTGTTTTATAATAGCCATCCTCATTGGTATAAAGTGGTATCTCATTTTTGTTTAGTTTTGCATTTTCCTAATGATTAGTTCGTTGAGTGTCTTATCAATTGTTTGTATGTATCTGTCTGGAAAAATACCTGTTCAAATCCTTTGCCCACTTTTTAATGGAATTGTTTTGTTTTGCTGTTGTTGAGTTGTAGGGGTTCTTTATATATACTTTATATCAATCTCTTATCTGATATATGATTTGCAAATATTTGCTCCTATTCCATTAATTGCTTTTTCAATTTGTCTTTTATTATTTTTTAAAGATTTTATTTATTTAACAGACACAGAGCAAGCAAAAGGAGGGGGAATGGCAGGCTACCAGGGAGAGGTTCGAGAAACAGGCTACCTACAGAGTAGGGAGCCAGATGCAGGATTCGATCCCAGGACCTTGGGATCTTGACCTGAGCCCAAGGCAGACACTTAACTGACTAAGTCACCCAGGTGCCCCAATTTGTCTTTACTCTTAAGTGATGGTCTCTCTGGCCATACAATTTAAGGATATTAATTATTTTCCCTCAGCACTTTGAAAATATTACTTCTTTGTCTTCTGGCATCTGTTATTGCTGGTGAGGAGTCAGCTGTCTGTCTAATTAGTGTTCCTTTGGTACTTTGACTTTTATTCCTGGAATTCTGTAAGAGTTTTCTCTTTATCCTAAATGTTCAACAGTTTCACCACTCTGTGTCTTGGGAAAGATTTATCATTATTTATTCTGGTTGATATTCAAGTGACCCTTTGCCATAAGACTTAGGTCTTTTTTCAATTCTGAAATTAATTTTTTCAAAACTTGTTTCTTTAATATTCTTCTCAGTCTCTTCTGGAACTTTTTTTTTTAAAGATTTTATTTATTTATTTGACAGATAGAGATCACAAGCAGGCAGAGAGGCGGAAGCAGGCTCCCTGCCAAGCAGAGAGCCCAATGCGGGGCTTGATCCCATGACTCTGGGATCATGACCTGAGCCGAAGGCAGGGGCCTTAACCCACTGAGCCACCCAGGCGCACCATCTTCTGGAACTTTTAATAGAAATTTATGTTGAAGCCTGTGAATATATGTGTTTTTCCATATTAAAACTGTCTGTGTTGTGTTTTGCAGGAGGCACTGTCTTCCAACTTTCTAAACACCCCCTTCTCTGGTATCCAGATTACATTATCTATTGAGTTTTTGAGAAGAATATTTTATTATTTTGAAGATTTCTAAATGGTTATTTTTCAAATCCACCTGCTCTTTTTCCATTTTTATTATTTTGTGTATTTCACAATTTCTTGTTTTATTTAGATAGAAGTTATTCCTTCTTTTACCTCTTTGGGCATGCCATATATTGTTTGAGAAGTCTTTTTAAGACTGCTTCATAAAATTAATTTTATTTTGAGTGAATTCAAGTTCTGATTGTTTTTGTTCTTGTTCTTTCTTAGCATTAGATTTCTTTCTGTGTTTTGGCATTGTTATTTGATTCTGAATTTGTGAGTTTGTGTTTTTTTCTTCTTCACTCTTTCTTTCACTGGTTTCCCTAAACTCTGTTGGGTGGTTTCATAGATGCTTCAAATTGTCCTTATTCTTCTCCAGCTTTTATTTCAAAACTAAAACTTAGAATGGCATTTTGAGGTTCCTGGCTGATGGTATATTGAGTCACAAGGGCAGCTGGCTGTTTGGTCGACTTCCAGGTCAGGGAGCTACAGTGTGGCCTCCAGTCTCTTTTAAAAGCCATGATCCTAGCTAGGGGTTGAGCACTTTTTTCTGCTTCCTTTATTGAGGGCTAGGAGGATAGAAGTCGGCATAGGTTTGAGTCTCAGTTTGTCTGATTGATTTTCTATTTTTAGATTTATATCTATTATTTATTATGTTTTTGGAGTGGAGTTGGGCATGTCAAAGTTGATCAGAAGCTCTAAATAGCTTTCTTATCACTTTCTTCACTGCCACACCCAAGTTCAGGCCACCGTATCTCTTGCAACAGCATCCTAACTGGTTTCTCTGTCTCTAGTCTTTCTTTCCTCCAATCCATTCTTCCCATTAAGGCAGGGGGGTTGTTATAAAATGTAATTCCATTCACATCGCTACCCTGCTTAAAGTCTTTAAATGATGCTTCACTGTCACGATCAGTAGCAGAGATGGTGTAAAATCACCAGCCTAATATGGACAAGGAAAGAAGAAATTTAAGTTGCTGGCTCTTATTGATTACAGGCAAAGGAACATTAACTCATGTCTAGTCATTTAAGACAGAATCATTCTCATAAATAAAAATTTAAAAGGACTTTTTAAAAAAAAGATGGAAACATTCTCAAAAGAATGAAAATGTTACTACCTTCCTAAAAACGTGCATCCTCACTGGATTGGTCTCAGGACAAGGAAATAGATCAGAAATATTCTCTAGATCCCATAAAGAATCAATAGCTTCTTAGAACACATGACAATCATTAAGAAATCAGAAACTAATGTGATCTGGCGACTTTAAGAGTTAGGAAGTTTAGCAAACACAGCAGAAGCCTTCAAATGTCCATTCAAGATACAGTTATTGAATATTTCTGATTTGCAAGGCACTGTAGAGAAAACAGGATATGTAAAATACCTTCTACTTTCAAGGATCTCACAAGGTAGTAGGCAAGGTGACATTTACAATTACCATAAAAAATATGTGTGTTGGGGTGTCTGGGTGGCTCAGTTGGTTAAGTGTCTGCCTTCGGCTCAGGTCATGATTCCAGGGTCCCGGGATTGAGCCCTGCATAGGGCTCCCCACTCAATGGAGAGCCTGCTTCTCTCTCTCCCTCTGCCTGCTGCTCTGCTTACTTGTGTTCTCTGTCAAATAAATAAATGAAATCTTTTTAAAAAATGTGTGTGTTGTTGTAGGTTGAATTGTGTTCCCAAAAGATATGTTGAAGTCTTAACCTCCAGTGCTTTAGAATGGGACCTTATTTGCAAATAGGATCTTTACAGATGTAATTAGTTAAGATGAGGTAATACTGGAGTAGAGTGGACCCTTAATCCAATAGAGAAAAGACAGAGAGATACAGACACAGGAAGGGAAAACATCCTGTGACAGTAGAGGCAGTGATTGGAGTGATCTAGCTCCAAGCCAAGGAATGCTGAGGACTGGAGGCTGCTACCCGAAGCTAGGAAATGGGCAAGGATTAACCCCTATAGTTTTCAGGAAGATAGCCCTGCTATCCTCTTAGGACTTCGAACCTTCGAAACTGTGAGACAATAATCTTATGTTGTGTTAAGCCATCAGTTTGCAGTACTTTGTTATGGCAGCTCTAGGAAACTTATACATGTATTATAAGCAAAATTGCACAACAGAAATGAATCATTTCCAGATTAAGAATGGCTGTTGGAAGACATGGCACTTGTGCTGAACTTTAAGAGGATGATTTTTACATACATAGATGGCAGAAAGAGAAAAGGCTTTAAGTTAGGGTCTTTGCGTCTATCCAAATTCTAGCCTGAAGCCTAACCCTCCCAAGCATCCTCTCTGGAAACAATCGGAATTTGATCCATCCTAATGCCTTTAACCTACTGTCAGTTTCGCCACTAACATGACTTTGAAGACACAAAATCTGGAAGGACAAAATATTTCATACAACCTTTATTATTTCTAACCCTGGTGTGCTGTGGTTAAATATTATTTGCTTTCACTACCTTTACATCACACTATAAAAGGGGGAATCCCCTTCATGAAGATGTTAGTGAGCAGTAGCTAATTAAAATCTCAGTCTAACCGGAAGAGACATGAGACTGGAAAAGCAGCTTGGAATTACTTGTAATGCTTCTGACCTTGTATTATGATGTCTTCACAGTGATGTTTCTAGGCTGTTATGACTACAGGCATTATTTAGCAAGATCCTCCAGTTGTAAATAAACTCGAAATTTCAGTAGTCGTTTGGGGGGCAGGGAGAGGGTTGTTGCTCCCCTTCTGGGTTTCAAATCAAACTGGCAGACACTGTGCTCGCTTCGGCAGCACATAGACAAACTGAAAGACATCACATGGCTTCCATCCTAAATCACGGACATCTACCATTTCCATCTTTGAAAAATGATAGCCTCCTGGGGGTCCCCGGTGCGCCTCCTTCGCCTGGGGAGGAATGCTCAGAAAGGGGTTTTCATCTGTCAGTTCCGCCTGAAACACGGAGCAAATTACTGCAAAGAATATGGGTTCTTAACCTGAGATGCACATTCGGAATCACTGGAGGAGCTTATAACAATATACATTCCTTGCCCGCACGTTGGATGGGGCACGGTCTGGCCCTGTTCGAAAACGAGCCCCAACTGGTCAGAGGCCGAAAGACCCCAGGAGAACAAGTTCTGTACGGAGAGGCCAAGGCCCACGAATCAGACAAGGAGTCATTTTCAGCAGCCTCCCGACGTGAGACGCGATCCGCAAAAGCCCTTCCTCTCTGTCAGCCATCGAGGAAGTGTCTTTCGTCTCGTGGACCACTCCGTACTCGGTTCCTCCTCTCCTCCCCCATTCCGCCACGCCCCAAGAGCGGTTCCCAACGGAAGCCCCGCCCCCACGCCCGGGCCCCGCCCCCGGAGGCGCGGCGCGGGCTGCGGCGGGCGGAGGTGGGGAGGGCGTGGGCGAGGGTGGGAGAGGGTGGGGGGCGGTGGGATGCAGGGCCGGGGCGGGACCTGGCCCGGCGCGGCGAGGGGAGGAGTCATGAGGGGGACTCCCATCTTCTCTTCCGCGGGCTCCGTCTCGGAGGCGGGGCACCTGGGCGAGGAGCGGCCCAGAGCGCTGGAGTTGCTGCCGCCGCCGCCGCCGCCGCCGCCGCCACCGCCACCGCCGCCGCCGCCGGGCGCCTGGCGCTCCCCTCTTCAGTGGGGCGCTGGGTGCAGTAGCCGCCAGCGGAACATGGCGCCGTGGACATTCTGGCGCTGCTGCCAGCGCAGCGTGGGCTGGGTGCCGGTGCTCTTCATCACCTTCGTGGTCGTCTGGTCCTACTATGCGTACGTGGTGGAGCTGTGCGTGTGTGAGTACCAGGCGGGGGCCGGGGCCGGGCGGAAGGCCGGGCCTCTGCGCCCCGCCGGCCTGCGTCTGCCCTTGCCGGGCCACGGGGGTCCGGCCCAGGCCCGGGGGGAAGCAGGCCGTGGCGCTCGTGGCTTTGTCACGGTGGTGCGGCGCGGCCCGGCGCGGCCTGGCCTTCGGGCGTACGCTACACCCCGCGCAGAGCCGCGCTGCCCGGGCCGAGGTCCGAGCAGAGCAAGGCGGTGATAGCGTCCTGGGGTCTGCGGTCCCCCGCGGGCGTCTCGTTCTCCTAAGGTGGAATGCTTTGAGACGGGTTGTCCTCGAACGGAGGAGATGAGCCTCGTAGAAGTTGTGTGTGTATACGTGTGTACGTGCGCGCGCGTGTTGCATTCTTTGCTTTGTTAATGTTTTAAAATAAAGAAATCTGTTCCTCTTAGATTGCCTTAACAGCGTGAGAAGAAAAGCGTGTTACCTGAAGAGCCGGCTGGTGGGTGGGGGAAGGCAGGTGGTCTTTTCGTTGTCGCGTGCTGACCGCAGGTTAGCCATAGAAGACAGATGAGCGCCCGCTTCTGATGTTTGGTGGCACTGACCCATTTTCAAGTTCATTTCTTTCAAGTCTGAATCCAGTAACTTATACAAAATGTTATGTTAACACCGAAAGAACGAGATGACCTGTAGGCTGATTCTCTTTTTATCTTGGCTATGTATTATGGAGGTTTATATTTCTTTCATCCTCAGATTTTAAGGTTTTGTTTTATTTTCATGACTGCCAATTCAGTTTCTCACCAGCTTCCCTGGAGTAAGAAAGGAGTAACACCACAGTACACTTCAAAGATTTAAGATACAGATTTGAATACATAGCCGTTGAGATTGAAGGAAATTGGTTGTCCTCAAAACATTGTTTGAGGGCTCCTGCTTTGTTTGTGATAGTGATTGGTTGCTCTGCCTTAAGTTAATTGTTCATAGGCTTTGAGTGTGCAGCTATTTTAGGGTTATTCTAGCTTTCCACTTCTGTGTAGATCTGCTCATATTTATACCAATTCTTCCTGTCAGTTGAGGACCAAATGGTAAGTGGTGTTTGTAAAAGCAGTCCCTTGGTATCCCAGAACGATCTAGTTTTAGTCTCCAGGTCACTGTTCTCTAAAGGACCCTTGTTATATACACTTTTAAAAAAAAAAAAAAGAGCCACCAGAGGTATATGGATACTGATAGTATGAAATGAAAAGTAGTTTACCACCCACTCCACTTGCAAGTGGCAGAATCTGGACTTCTCCAGTTGTGGGTGGCTCTGGATTTGTACAACTGTCAAAGACTTGGTTAAAACAGTTCTGCACATGAAAGAGAATGCTTTGGCTCAGAAGGTTTGAGGAGAGGTTTTCAAATGAAAATAATCACCTTCAAGAAAATTATATTGTACCTATAGGATATTTAATTTTAAAGAAAACTATCCCAGCAAATAGGCCCAGAATAAATTAGTTGTGGAATACATTTCCACATAATAGTGGAGTTAATCTGTTGAATGTTATTGAATAATATTTGAATCAATGAAAATTGACTAGATTTAGGTATTTCTTGAAGCTGCTTCCAAAAAATGATAGTGATCATAGGATTCTCATCAGTTCATGATGGTACTTGATTTTATTTACTCTGAAGTGGGTATTTATTACAAAAGTTGTATCAGTCTTATTTAATTCTTATTTAATTTGGAAGACTGTTCCTACCCTATCTTAATTACACAGTGGTTTTGAAATAAAGCTTCTGAAGAAACACTAAAAATGTGTGTTTATGTTGAAATTGCACAGCCTAACCTATAGAAAGTTTTTGTCAAAAAAAATCAAAAGGTGAGGTTAAACCTAAGGGAAATGAATATGAATACGGAAGTGCTGTGTGCTAGTGGAGATGGAGGGGACATTTTATTCATTCTTTCCTTTAATCCTCATATCTCGGAGCATAGGTATCTTCTACAGATGTAGGAAATGAGACTCTGAGCAAATAGGTCCTTGTTAGAGCACACAGTTATTGAGTGGCTATTGCACTGTTATCCACATCTTTACACTATACATGTAACTTGTAGTGAGTCACTGAAACTGTAATTGTTTGTTCCATGATTGGAGGTGGATAATAGGTGGGGTTAAGTAGTTCCCCTTTTTGGAGATCATGACTTCAGTTAGGCATTAGGCCCATCCTTTAGAGATCATACCCCAGGATTTCATTAAATTAAAACATTCTGCACCAATTAAGGCCCAATGCTTGACAGAATTTTAAAATATTCAGTAGTAAAAGGTCTTATATAGGGCCTTCACTTAATAATTCTAAGTTATCTGAGGTTAACTAGGGAAAATTTGGAAGTCTGCAGTATTACTGGACTGTATGAATCAGCATAAAGATTCATTCACTTTCTTTTCTTTTTTTTTTTAAAGGTTTTATTTATTTATTTGACAGAGATCACAAATAGAGAGGCAGGCAAAGAGGGGGAAGCAGGCTCGCCGCTGAGCAGAGAGCTGAATGCAGGGGCTCAGATCCCAGGACCTTGGGATCATGACCCAAGCCAAAGGCAGAGGCTTTAACCCACTGAGCCACCCAGGCACCCCAAGGCTCTTTCACTTTCATAATAAAAGTATCCTTTAAGCTACTTTTATATGTTTATCTTTTCATAACACAGATTTTTATTTTCTCCCGAGATTGCTATTGAAACATACAAATTTATGGGTGGATTGATCAACTTTTACACTTTGGTCAAGATGGTTATTTTGGAGGAAAGTGCTAAATTCAGGGTTTTGTTTTTGTTTTTGTTTTAAGACTTTATTTAGGGGCGCCTGGGTGGCTCAGTGGGTTAAGCCTCTGCCATCTGCCCAGGTTATGATCCCAGGGTCCTGGGATCGAGCCCCACATCGGGCTCTCTGCTCGGCAGGGACCCTGCTTCCCCCTCTCTCTCTGCCTGCTTCTCTGCCTGCTTGTGATCTCTCTCTCTCTGTCGGATAAATAAATAAAATCTTAATATATATAAAAAAAAAGACTTTATTTATATATTTGACAGACGGAGATCACAAGAAGGCAGAGAAGCAGGCAGAGAGAGAGGAGGAAGCAGGCTCCTTGCCAAGCAGAGAGCCCGATGCAGGGCTCAATCCCAGTATCCTGGGATCATGACCTGAGCTGAAGGCAGAGGCTTTAACCCACTGAGCCACCCAGGCGCCCCTCGGGTTTTTATCAGGACATCTTGTTCAGGTTATTTAGAGTTGTCAGTAGATATGTACCTCTTATTTGACATGTAGAGGATCTTAGAGCCCAAAAGATTTTAGAGATGATCTAATTCATTTATTTTACTTCTGAGAAAACTGTTGTGTGAAGGAGTTATGTGGTTTGCCTATGGATGGATATGCCTCATCTCTTCAGAGAGACATATGTAGAGTAGAAGTATGACCACTGAGGCCATATAGCTAATATTCCTGTGTCTCCTTCATAATTTCTTCAAATTTAGAATGAGACAGGATAAATAGCTTAAATATCAACATTGAGCACAGTGTCTTGCCAGAGTTGATTCCAGTGTTTTTTATTGGTTTCAAAACAACCAGCTTTTGATATCATTGATTTTTTTTTTAAGATTTTAAGATTTTATTTATTTATTTATTTATTTTAAAGATTTTATTTATTTATTTGACAGAGAGAGATCACAAGTAGACAGGCAGGCAGAGAGAGAGAGAGAGGGAAGCAGGCTCCCTGCCGAGCAGAGAGCCTGATACGGGACTCGATCCCAGGACCCTGAGATCATGACCTGAGCCGAAGGCAGCGGCTTAACCCACTGAGCCACCGAGGCGCCCAAGATTTTATTTATTTAACAGAGAGAGACAGCAAGAGAAGGAACACAAGCAGGGGGAGTGGAAGAGGGAGATGCAGGCTTTCTGCTGAGCCAGGAGCCCAATATGGGGCTGGTATTATAACTGGAGCCTAAGGCAGATGCTTAACAACTGAGCCACTCAAGTGTCCCTCATTGATTCTTCGCTATTATTTTGTTTTCCTTTTTACTGATTTCTTGTCTGATAATTATTGTTCCTTTCCTTCTTTTACTTTGGGTTTAATTTACTCTTCTTCTAGTTTCTTTTTTTTTTTTTTAAGATTATTTTTCTTTGACAGAGAGAGAGATCACAAGTAGGCAGAGCAGTGGGCAGAGAGAGAGAGGGGAAAGCAGGCTCCCCGCTGAGCAGGGAGCCTGACATGGGGCTCCATCCCAGGATCCTGAGACCATGACCCGAGCCAAAGGCAGAGGCTTTACCCACTGAGCCACCCAGGCGCCCCTTTTTCTAGTTTCTTAATGTGGAAACTGAAGTCACAGATTTTAGTCCTTTCTTGTGTTTAGTCCTACAAATTTACTCATAAATACAGCTTTATTCACATTCCATCAGTATTTACATGTTTTTTAGTTTCATTCAATTAAAATTATTTTCTAAATTCATTTTTCTAATGAATTTAGAATTTCTAAAATATTTCTAAATTCATTATCTCATCTTTGACCCATGGATTATTTTAGTAGTATGCTAATTTGCAGTTATCTGAGGATTTTCCAGATACCATTTTGGTACTGATTTTGAATTTAATTCTATGTGGTCAGATACGTTGCATGACTTGAGTCCTTTAAATGAGTAAGTTTTTTGTTAAAGATTTTATTTGACAGAGACACAGCAAGAGAGGAAACACAAGTAGGGAGAGGAGGAGAGGGAGAAGCAGGCCTGCCAAGCATGGAGCCCAATCATGACCTGAGCCAAAGGCAGACACTTAACAGCTGAGCCACCTAGGCACCCCTAAATTTTAAATGAGTACATTTGAAAGGACTTGTTTGACAGCCTGAAATGTGGTCTGTAGTAGAAGCATTTCATGTGTATTTGAGAAAAATATATTCTGTTGTATTCAGCAATGTATTTTGCTGTTTGTTGTTGGGTAGAGTTTCTGTTATGTCATAATGTGCCATAGATGTCAAGGCAAGTTGGATGACAGTGTTGTTCAAATTTC